TAACTATTTCCTGGTCTAAAGACACACTACTGGTTTGTCATAATCATTTAGAATTTCTTATTTTTCTTTTTTTAAAACAGTCTCTGAAACAATTATTATAAATATATTTTATATATTCATAAAATAATAGTGATATTTTACTACTGATAACCTGTTTTATGTCACAAGCACTTCTGTTTTAAAAATATAAAGGTTTTAAATAAAATCATTGAGGGGAAAAGGAGCTGTTGAAATTGAGCAACTCACTCAGAGATTTTTTTTTTAATAGCAAACCAAACTTGATCTTCAACTTTTCAAGTTTTCACATAGATTTTGATAGGAGGGTCTTTTGCCTTTATGGCACTCAATGACTGTGATATTATTTTATGGACTAAATGAGATGAGATAGACAAATTCGCAAAGGATAGGATTGACTAGAAGATTTTTCAGTACACTATTGTGGTTTGTAGGGTGAAAATGTTAAGTGGACAGTTTTTTAAAAATCACAAATACATATACTTCCCTGGCATTGGAAAAGTCTCCGTGTATTTCTTAATTGCCAAATCTCGGTCCACACAGCTTCCTTTGTTATTAATCTGTGACTCCTGTTGCATCCAGGATTGTCTGAAACCAGTCTTTTGAGATTCCCCCTGAAAATGGCTAGGCATTAACCACAGAACATTTTGAGTGCAGGAAAAGGGAAAGGTGTTAATTCAGATGTTAGGAAACTGTGATAATGCCATTACTTAAGGCATTTATTTGGCTATGTTTATACTTTGTAGTTTTATAAATAAGTCCAAGGGGCTCCTCTTGGTTGTCACTGTCCTCCTTGAGTCTCGGATCCTGTCTGTCTTATCCTATCCGACAGTAGAATTGATGCCGCTCTAATCCCTGGAAGTTTGGAACTAATGAACTGACTGCTGAGCTGCCGCCACGGAGCTTGGTCCCAAACTATACTGTACTTCACACTCGATTTATTCTCCAGATGGCGAGACTGTGCCGCCCTGCCGCGAGGGACCACCTCTTCCACTGGAGTGTAAAAGTGGACGGATGTTGTTTTCTTTGCAGATTTGATAATTCTGAGCTAGGAACTTGCAAGGATGATTAGTTATTAGCTTTAATAGGTGCCAATTGAACCAACTGCACGCATATTTTCTTCTTTAATTTCGGAGTCGGCAGGTCTCGGTGATGGTTGAATTCTCTGCTTTCTTACGTCGGCGGAGCCTGGCTCTTCCCCAGGTGATGAGAACTCAAGCCCCGAAATCATAACACGCCTTGGTTCCTGGTCCAGACAGAGTCACATAATAACAGTGGCTTATGTATAAGGACAAGTTTATTAACCACTGGTCCAGTGCACTGAGCAGCAAGCGCATGGCACGAAATAGCTTTTGAGAGTGGGAACTGGGGTAGCACCACTTTTCAGGACAGGGGCCTGTGAAAATTTGCATCTCTGAGCCTGCTCGCTGTCCTGTCCTCTGAAGGGTTCACCTCTGACATCCAGCATGGTACCAGTTTGTGGGACTTTGCCTCCTCAAAGATCTAATGTAACTGCTGATAAAGGTTTCAATGCCATTATTCCATCTTTTCCAGTTTGTCAGATTGTAGATGAACAAGTTCATTCCACATTGAAAACATTTTACCAAGGCTGTCGTTCAGAGTCCAAATATTTAGGCCTTTTAAACCGAACACTGAACAACCTGTTTTGCTTCCAGAATCTAGGACTTAAAAAAAAAAAAAAAAAAAACAAAGTTTTTTTTTGTTTTTTTTTTAAAAAAAAGGTTCTTTTTTGCTTTCATTTCCACTTCCTTATTTCCCCTGCGAAGCACTGCCCTACCCCCACCCCCACCCCAGCAATCTCAGCAGTTCACCCAGGTAACTATTCTGAGAAACGGGCTGGCCAAGTTACTTCTCCCCTAACTCAACTAACCAGGTGGAAGCTGGGGGTCAGGGGGTAGGGATGGGGGGGGATGTCAAATCCAAATAGGAGGTGAAGAGAATAAAAAAGAGGTGATAGAGATGAGCAAGATAGAAAAAGATGCCCACAGCAGTGAGACATGCTGGAGACAGAAATGCAGAATATAATTTCATTTCACAACTGGGAGGAATGTTGTAAAATGTTAAGCTAGATCCTCCCTGGTTTAACATGGAGAACTAAATTTAATTGTTCTTAGAAACTGCTTTCCTCTCAGCCCAACAGATGGCATGGGTGTGTCTGCTGGCACAATAACATATTTCACCATTAAAGTACCAAAACGAAAAAAAAAAAAAAAATCAACATGCTTGTTGGTTGCTGTAAATTCAGTGAAGTTGTTAGATATTTTGGGATACATACCAGAGGGATGCACACTTATTTTGTGTAAATTACAACAAGCAACAGCCTGTTAATAAGAATGTTGTGTGGCAATATACCTCAAAAAGCATCATTGGTTTTTGAAAGGTACAGAATAACAAAGGAGAAATAATTCTGTTTTAATTCTGAGCCAAGAAAAAAAAAAGCCTAATGAAATCCTCTGTATACACTGTTCATTATTACAATATGAAAAGTACTAATCAGATTAACTTAAAATTGGAATTACTTCATTTGCAGCCAATATCATAAGATCTGAATTTTACTAAGTAAACCAGAATGTGTGGAAACCATGGCAATCTGACTTTAGATAAAATCACAAACAGGTTTAGAACAGGAGCTTTGAACAAACAGTTCCCTTCAAATCCAAGTGAAACAATGGAACAGTGCAGAGGTCAGATTTTGTTTGACATCAACATTAACAATTTTAGGACCTTGCTGATGCCAGAATGGAGTTGATTATTCAAATAACTTGAGTTTTAAAATGCCTTTTAGCCTAACCCACTGAGTTAGTTCCAATCCATTTTCCATTCACTCGGTCCCAATAGTCTCTTTACAAGCCTGACTTGCAGTATTGAAAGAAAAACATCCTGGTTGATATGTTTACAAACTGAAGCAGTCTTGAGCTTGTAGCAATATGCATTACACTGAGCAGAACACACTTTAGATTCTCTGAGGTCACAAGGGCTGCAGACATTTCTGGATGGTTTTATGTTGTCATTTGCCATTGAGTACTGCCCCTGACGTGCAGTGATCCCATGCAGCACAGAGTGAAACCCTGCCCAGCCCTGTGCCATTCTTGTAGCTGGCTGCAGACCACTGTCATCCACAGGGGCATTCTGGCTTGGTTTTGGAAGTAGATCACCAGGCCTTTCTTCCTAGACACCTTTAGAATTATGATGCTAAGCTAATAATGCAGGAGGAAGGGATGGGACTTAAAGAAGAGTGAGTGGTCTAGTTGTGGGATAGCAAAAGGCATGATGGGGAATAGAGTCACTCTTGACTATATCAAACTTCCCTCCATCTTGATTTGGGTTTTTTGGTTGTTTGGTTTTTGGTGGTTTTTTCTTTTTTTTTTTTCCTCTTTCACCTTGTTTTTGTCTAAACTTGTAAGACCGCAGAAGCTCTATGAATGAGGATTCCAAAGAGGTACCTCAAACTAGGCCTTCCTAGTCTATTACCCTCTAACCTGACATCTCCAAGCCGCTGTTTTCTCACGCTGTTTAACTCAGACCACATTTCATAGTCTTTGCTTCCACTCCATCATAGACCTACATCTATCTGGTTTAAATCCAATGTCCTGGTTTGATTCATTGATTGAATATTGGCTTAAATAAACCTTTTAAAATTTGTTTTTAAAAATCACTATCTTGGCTTTCTCTTTTCCTATGTAAGTTTTAACATTCAAATGGCTTTATATTGTTTAGGCCATTTTTTGGTTGTGGGTTTGGGTTTTTCAAACCACACTCATCAGCAGTGAGAAACTTTAAAGTTTTATTAGTATCATAAAAACCCTTCCCAAATGAAACTACTTGTGATAAGTGTTCATTCTGACAGTGAAAATTTGTTGAGGGCTGTTGGAAACTTGGAAGCATTTGGTTTTGAAACTGAAATTGACAGGAAGTAATGATTTTAAGAGGGTTTTTTTTCCTTTTTTGACTCCTCTATCACTGCCCCTTCTGTCCTTCCCCTTACCCCTTCCCCAACTTCACCACCCCCATCCCAAAGCTGAGGGAAAATATGTTTGATCTTACACAGTTTTTTCTAGGAAAATTTAAATCCTGAAAGAGACTTTCAGACCTTCTTAACTGTAAAGCAAAGACTGTCATATCAAAGGTGGGCGCGGAGGGGAATGAATTTGTCTACCACTTCATGGGATTTCTTGATGATACCATGTATTGCCTTTCAGCTGAATAAGCTGGAGTTATTTAAAAAAAAAAATAAAAGTATGTAATGTCATTTTCTGTGAGCACCTTCTTAATTGTCAAGATTCAACTCAGTTGCAAAAAAAAGATAAGTAAAAAATTGTGATACATGTGGGAAAAGGAAGGTACACTGTTATTTTTCCCCTAATATGAATATTCTGAAAGACAAGAATGTTATTATCCAAATGTTAGCTAGTTTCTTATATTTATTAATTGGAAAATACATGCAAAGAACTAAGAACCCCGTCACTTTTAGTAAATGTTCAATAAATATTAGCTCTTATTACACCTTTCCACTTGGAAAGTAATAATAATGAATATGACACTCCTGTTTAAAAGGGCCCTGTGTGTATTAGGGTGACATTATCTATGTTACAGGAAGCTCTGGTGGGCTAGTAGTAAGAAGCTGTGCTACAATCCCAAAGGCTCATGGTTCAAATTCACCGGCTTCTCTTTGGGAGGATGGACAATCTCCTCCCAGGTGACTTACGAGCTATGAATATGTTCTGACTCAATGGTATACAACAACAATCTATGTTGCAGTATTTTTAAGTGATATCTAGAAATCAATTGTCTGCCCATCAGGCTAGATGACTTCCTTCAAATATTTCTTTGATGTGTAAGAAATTTGTAAATATAATAATGGTGGTCACACTCTGAATCCACATAACATTTTCACATACCATCCAACCAAATTTCCTCTCTGGGATAAAATAAACTTAAGAGATTCATTATCTCAATATTTACAGACTGAAGCTCGACTGAGAATAGTAAAAACTCTTGAAGAGTTTGATCTTGGCCCAACAGAAAAGTGTGTGCGAATCAACTCTGTGTCCAGTGGTCTTGCTGAAGATGATCTGGAGGTCCTTTTGCAATCACGGGTCCTTCCTTCCAGCCTGATGCTACCCAAGGTGGAAAATCCTGAAGAAATCCGATGGGTAAGTAGCTAAGGTCTCACTTCAATTAAAGGCTCAGGACCAACTAAGAGGTGGAGGTATACCTTATTTTCTTATGCTTCACAGTTATCCTGCATTTTACACATTGAAGGTTTATGGCAATCTTTTAACAGACAAGTCTAATAGTGCCATTTCTCCAACAGCATGTGTTCACTTCATGTCTCTGTGTCACATTTGGGTAATTCTCACAATAACTCTTTAATGATGTTATTGCACACTTAATAGACGACCACAAACAAACCAGCCAACCCATAGTCAGTGAGTCAGTTCTGGCTCATGGTGACCGTCCGCTGGGTTCCTAAGGTTATAAACTCTAAAGGGACTACTCTTTTCTCTAAGGAGTAGTTGAAGAATTTGAACCTCTGACTTTTTGGTTAGCAGTACAATTTGTAACACGTTATACAATCAGGACTCCTTTTTATAGATTACAGATTTAATTGTGTCAACATTTTTTATTATATAAACATAACTTTTACATGCACTTGGAAACCCCCTTCCTCCATCCAAGAAGAATCTAGCCTCTCTCAAAGTGTGAGATGGAATGGACCTTTTTAAATGATTCCTCTGCTTTCTGATCAGATTTCTATTTTGGACAGAACAGCCCCCTCAATAGCCTTCATGGGACAATCCCTGGAAACCTGTTTAAGCATAGAATTGGATCCTATCTTGCATCCTGCCAAGCCTGAACCCAAGACCTGGAAGAGCAGGGATGCAAATAGCTTTTACCTAGATTCATTTGAACTAATCCTGGGCAGTAAAAGCATGTTAGCTATATATGAAAAATGAACATAAAGAAGGGAAGGGAAAGGTCACTCTGTAGGGCAACTGGAGGAATAAACAGGAAGCTTTTAACTAATGGTTTTAATTAGTGCAGATATTATTTCCTGAACAGTTCTCTATTTCTTCCCTTTTTAATTGCTGACAGGTGTGTTTGTGTTTCATGGCCAACTTTTCAGTCAATAAAAACCTGAAATGTAAAGTGGTTGGTATGTCAAATTACTTTAAGAAAACTTTGAAATGGGACTAATTATGTTATGATTGTTTTAATTGTTAAAGGGGGGAGGCAAGATTTTATTTGGGTGTTACTATTATTCTGCAGCTCTCTGTTGAATCAAATACCATTTCATTACCCTCCTCCAGGGTCGAGAGCTCAGGAGCAGGAACAATGGGGGAGCTGGAAAGTGTGTGATCCGTGGCCACATCTAGTAGTATCTGTACGGCTGCCGATGCAACTGTAGAGATAAGTGTAGCTGTCGTGATTTAACTTGAGGAAACTGCTCCCCACTTTAGCACATCTCCATAGGTGGGATCTGTGCTGTCCAGTGCTGGAGCCACCAATCACACAACCATGTGTGACTGTGGAACACTCTAAAGTTGGCAAATCCAAATGAAGATATGCTGTCCATGTAAAATGCACACCTGATTTTGTGACTTTGGTACCAAAAAAAGAGGAACGTCAAATATCTCTCAACTAATTCTCTTATTGATTTCATTATTGGAATGTTTGAGATAGTATTGATTAAGCTTGTTGCCATCCACTTGACTCTGACTCAGAGCGACCCTGTGGAGCCGGGCTGCCCCACAGGATTCCCACAACTGTCATCATTATGGAAGAGGACTGCTCCAGCTGCCCTCACTATCCATAACATACAACAGACTGCTAAAATGAAACTCACCTGTTTCTTTTCACCTTTTTAAAGTGGCTACTAGGGAATTTTCAGTTAGCTGTGTGGCTCCCCTTATATTTCTGTTGGCCAGAAATATTGGCTCCTTTTCTATTGCTCTTGGCTTCTTCCTGAACACTGACATTCAGAGACCAGTATTTATGTAACTGAAGTTTTCTTCTCCCAGGTTGCCCTGAGAATCTAGGATATACTGGTCAGAGTAAGTTCATCATCCCTATCAGGGCTCCTCTCACATTCACATATGTCCTGTGATGACTGAAATGCAATCTGAACTCACCATTCCCTTTTGGTTCCATAATAAATTTCTATTTATCACCATTATTGTCCTTAATTTGGGGGTGGGGGTGGGAGGCCTTCTGCAGCCCCTGCTGTTGTCCCTTTTAAAAATCCTTGCTTGTGATAGACATACTGCAATGTAGACAACTAAAGATTAAATTATTTAAATAGGCCTTCTAGTTAACAGAAGTCTTCTGGGCTGTTTATTTTTTCCTCTTCGTTTGTATTTATGTGAAGCATAAAACCCGGAGCCTGATGCACAACTGAAAGATGGGCTTACTTGTTTTCTTTTGTGTGAGAATCTCTTGCTCGCCTTTTGTCGCTAGTGTGGGTTCTTGTTTGACTGGCACGGCTTATTGGACTATAACAAGCGTAACTCGGCCTCCTTTGTCGTGGGACAATTCTCCCACAAATCCCGAACAGTGTGCATTCTTCCAACACACTATTGGGTGTGCACTGGAATTGAAAGAATTGCTGAGCCCTGCTACTTCATCTCCTCCCCAATCTCTTTGTGATTTTCCCCCTTCTTCCCCTCCCCCCAAGTCCCCTCCACCTCGATGAAATGAACACTTTACCAGGCCGGAAACATTTAATCGTCTCCTTTTGAAAAAATTAATTGAAACTTCTCCACTAGTTACCTTTTGTGTTAGTACTTAATGCAATTTTTAAGAAAGAAGGGGAGGGTGGCCTAGAATATTTCATTTTTTTTTAATGCCCCATTGACTTAAAAACAAAAGGCATTACAGATATTCCCCACCCCACCCCCGCTGAACTAAAATCAGAGGCTAGATTGTAAAGTGTTTACTTAATTTTAAACTTGGTGATTTTGATAACAGTATTATTGTAAGTAATGCTTCAAGGTTTTTCAAATAAGAATCCGCCGCAGCATATTTAACACAGGGCCACTAATATCTTACTGTCCATTTTTCTAGCTTAAATGGGAATTAGGTTTTTATTTTCATTTACATCAACTCCTGTACATTTTGTCCCATTGCATTGTAGCCTTCTCTTCATTTTCACTGAGTTATTCCTATCCTGGAAAAAGTTGCTAAGGAGGTGATGATGGTGATGTTTGAGGAAGGGAGAGGGCAGTGCATGCAACTGGGAATAATTCTTCATTACTGAAAGCTGTGATTTATTTTAGCCTAATTGTAAAGTTACTGCAAATTGCTCAAAAGCTTTTTAAAGATCCCAGTGATTAGATTTTTTAGGAGGGGGGTGCACAGGCTAGGAGGGGACAGCTAAAAGGGGAAATAACACCTCTAATCCCGCTTCTGGTAAATAGGCTGCCAGCTTTTAAAATGAGTTTCCTTTCTATTAGTCAGAATATTATGCTAAGCCTTAAGCATTAGTTTTTTTATGTTGCCATAGCAGCCTTATTCCTGCAGGGTTGTGACCTGTGATGATTACAGTACAAAGCTTATAGGGTCTTGAAACCCCCTTTGAAGATGAAAAGTCTTTGATGGTTTATATTTATGCAAATCTCTTAGATATGATTTACCCAACTGAGACTGAATGGAGAGATGATTAAAATTCCCTTTTCCTTTGATATCCATTAATGGCTGAATATTCCTTAAATTTAAAATGGCTATATATGTTTTCATCTTTATTTACAAAAATATCTTTATCATACCTGTGGGTTTTTTCCTGCCTTTTTTTTTAATCTCTTCCTATCTTATTAGATCTAGATAGACATAATAGATTTACAATTTAGAGTGTCTGTGTGTGTGTTTTTTCCTTTTGAAAGGGAGGGTGGGTGGAATCTGTGCAAGAGCTTTTGTATGTTTCCAGATGATAGATTTTGGAATTTGGGCTACCCCACTGGCAGCACAGAGCTAGCTGTGAACTGGTCTCATGGAAAAAATTGGAGAGCTTTGGTCTTCAAAGAATTAAACTTCCTTTTTAAGGTCTTCCTAGGTAAGCTAAAAAATTATGAAGAAAAACCTTCTGAACAAAGGGTAATGGTGCTATAATGACTAATATGGATTCCACGTAGAAGGCTGCTGAACAGTTAGGCTGATGTCAGTGCTGGGTACACACAAAAACAGAATGGCAGGTAGAGCAAGACTTCATTGTTTTAAGGACCTATATTTGCATTTAAGGAAGTGTGGGCAAGAGGCCTTAAGTAAATATGTTTACAAGGAAAGCATTCAAACTCTTAAGAATCTCTCCAAGTTCTAACTCCTAGGCCTCAAATTGCTCCTTTGGTTTTGTGGGTGGGGGCGGGGCGGAATTCTGATGCTTAGGCTTTTGCTGTTTAGTTTGGTGGGAACTTTGTTACCTTTTTTCCTTGAACCTTTGCTTTCGCTCTCTTTTTTAAATTCTTTTGTGTGGAGGAAAAAGCCTGGGATATTACTTCCTCAGGTCAAAGACTTAAATGCTACTTCTCTGTCTACATTTCAGTGGTTGTACATTTCCCCCACACACTAATCACCTATGACACTTTTGATTTTAGTTTTCAGACAAATTTTCACTACACTTAAAAGACCGAAAACTTGAACAACCAATGAATTTAATTCCTTTTGTGGAAACTGCAATGGGTTTGCTCAATTTTAAGGTAAGAAATTTCTAATGTGGTTGATAAGTTATTACTTTATTTATCACCTAGAGAGAGCTTTTGTTTTCAATAGAAATAGCTACTTTTTAGAAAGATTTACAGGCAAAGTAAATCTGAGTACCATGTGTTACCTGTCTGTATTAGTCCAAAAATCTGGTTGTAAGGATATTAAAAACAAAGAAATTAAGTAGAAAGGAAAAGCTTCTCACTCCTAAATATTTCAGCTAATATCTACATTCTTTGTAACAATTTTAATTATATAACCATTTGCTAAATATAGGCTTTGAATTATCACACTTAGAAATTAAAAGGACATGGAAATTTATTTTTGTCACCCATATGAGTTAACTTTGAATTATTCCTTTGTATCAATTGTCTTTTTATTGAGAAAATATCCAGACTCTTTGTTGTAACATTACCCATAATGTCTTACCAGATAAGAGTAATATTTGTAAGTTAACCTACACAAATAATTTGTCATATGATCTCTCAAATTTGCCACATTAGAACATAAAATATTTTCTAATATACATTCAGAAAATAAACATTCACACTTAGCCAAGCGTTTTCAGCCTTTATGTAGCTGTATTACATTACCTGCTTTAATAAAGACATAGTTGTTTTAGTTTTTTTCCTTCATTATCAGTCATTTTATGTTGTTTTTCCAAGTATGCTTGCTTCCATTTGACCTCAGGCCATTAACTTAGCACTCCTTTCTCAGGCTAGAACCTTTGAGAAAGGAGTACTAGAGAAATCACTAAAAACAAAAGGAAAAGATAGTTTCATTATTTTATAGATAGATAGATAGATAGATAGACAGACAGATAGACTGGTGTGCATGTAAATACTCAGGAAACTTTGTAACCTATTGGACCATACAGGAGGGCCAGAAAGCTGCTATGAGCCTTGGACCTCATGATCAGCACGTTTACATAAGAAATCCTGGTACTCCCAGCATAGAATCAAAAACACATCCCTTAAATGCAACAAAATTCATATAGTGATTTAATTTTAACAGCTGCTTCACCATATATTATTCCATAATGTACTTAAAAGCTTGTACTGTAATTCCTGAAATTAACCAACAGTGTCCTCAGTCCTCATTTCTCCCCACCCACTTCTATTAGCATGCTGTATTGCCACCTTTGCAGATTCAGTTATAGATCAGTGACAAATGCTATTTCATCTTTATTGCCATTTGTCAGTGTTGAAGCTCCTTGTCATCTTGGATTACTTGTTGCATTTTCCCCTCTGGAGATGTGGATTTTTTGTTATATATATATATACATTTAATCCTGAGAACATTTGCTAAGAAATCTTAATTCTAATGCAAAGATGACAATGTGTTCATTTTATTGAGAAGGTCCTTACTTCTCTCCCAAGTTTTATATTTATTATCTGATAGTCTACTGAAGCAAAAGTAAGTGGGTGTGGGGAGGGAAAAGCCAACAGTACAATAAAAATTAGTTACCTTAAATATTTCCCTGGAAATTGAATGAACTAGTCTGAACATTTAGAACTCAGTTAATGTCTACTGGTAATTACTGGTATAGTCATTAAGCAAAGTAAATATATAAGATACTTATCTTGATAATGCTAATAAACACCTTTGAAAGAGATATATTTGGCTTAAATTTTTAAGACTGCTTTCAGCCAGGCTGTCAGGAGTCAGAGCATTCTGTCATCAGGATGTACCCAGTGTGTTCGATTCAGTGAGCCCTGCTTCTTTCTGCCCTGCTCCCTCACAGGCAGTATGTGAAGAGGCACTGAAGACTGGACCTCAAGTGGGGCTGCTTCTAGATGCCGTCGTTTTTGGAGGAGAAGATTTCCGAGCTAGCATAGGTGTCAAAGATGTGCCTTCTGCCCCGCCCTCCCACTGTCTCTTTCTCTGCCTATCTGTGGGTGTATATTGTTCTTGGCCCCTCATGAATGAACATTTACATGACAATATATATTTGCCAGCCATGAGAGAACTTTTTCAGCTGAATGACCAACACTTGCTGATAATTTAGGGCTCCTCATAGCTGTCTTGCTTCTAGGAAACTCCAGGATTACTTTAATTGTTTAAAATAAAAATTTTTTAAAAGCCTTTTTTCATCCACTGGGATGTGCAGGAAGATATGGCATATACTTTGCTCACACATGAACAACTCCTTTGCTTTACAGAGTTTGTTTTCCTGTCAATCTGAGGATTGAATTGAAGGCAATTTCATATTTAATTCATTATTTTCTACTTAATATGGAGTATTTATTAGTTGAAATAGAGGCATTTCTCTTAAACTATATTTCTTAAATAATCAGTAAGCTATTTTGACAAGTTTCACTTATCTTTACCATCCCTGGAGCACTGCACTTCTCATCTGGGTGTGTAAATACCTGGACACTTAGGAGGTCAAAACCACAGGAGGCATTTCTACAGCCACGCCCCAAGGAACTCAAGACAGGGACGTTGTTCCCTGATGAATTTCACAGCCCACATATAAACAGTGACCCTTGCAGGTTTAAAAAAAACAAAACAAAATAAAAGGTACACCAATGTTCTTTTACTACTAGTCTTTTCAGGATCTTTAGAGTACAGGCTTCCTGACATTTCCTGCTTCTCAGAAACTAAATACTTGCAATTTCCCAAGTTTCCCATCCAAACCTTGAAACCAAAGCCTTTGACTTAGAGCATCAGCTGTGATGGGGCATTGCAACCCCAATACATGCAATTCTCTGCTCAGTGAGCAAAGTTAATCATTATGTGCTGTTGTCCTTAGACTGGCGCTTTCCAGGGAAGCAAGGAAGACACAGTATAGAAGGAATCACTTGGTTCTAGCTCCTGACGTGGGGGCGGGGCCTCTTCTTGCATGTACAAGTAATTTTACTAAAAGAGGCCTTCCAAGATAGACACATAGGATATTAAGTTTACCTCCACCCCTCCCTCTCTGCATTTACACCTGAACATTGTTTTGGGTGAGGAACAATTCTCAGGGAGACAGATGTTTTTACAAATGGAGGGTTATTTTGTTTGATTTAAAAAACAAAACAAAACAAAAAAACAACTGTGTTCCATTTACAAAGATAAAAGTTTCCTTTTCTGTCGACATCCAATTTTCAGGTGCAACAAGTAGCAAAGACACCCAGGACATTCTCTACGCGCGACAAAAGATCATTGTTGTAGCGAAGGCCTTTGGTCTCCAAGCCATAGATCTCGTGTATATTGATTTCCGAGATGGAGAAGGGCTGCTCCGACAGTCCCGAGAGGGAGCCGCCATGGGCTTCACTGGTACGATTCCTTCACCATGTCTTGGGAAGTGGAATCCAGGTTATTAGCAAGCACTAATGGCACGGGGGAAGGCATTTAACTAGAAATTAATGTTTCTATTCTAATTAGCCATTTCATACCCTTTTCCCACTATTGGAAATACAAAAGCGACATCCAGGACAAGAACTTAACAAGTATGTTTTCTTTGGCTCTGCAATTCCAAAAACACATCATTGTTGTTACTCTCTTTATTAGCTATAGGTTTGGGTTTTTTTAATTTTTTTTAAACTTCTAAATCTTTTTGTAGGTTATTTTTGCCGACTTGAGAACTGGGCTGGAGGTATTTCAGAATTGTTCCTGAATGAATTAACCTTAAAATTAACCTCAAAATTTGCTATACTGAGATTCATACAAGGAAAATTTGTTAAAATGTTCTGAATAGTACTTCTTTCTGAAAACAATTGTGACAAGTTCTTTGGGGTTTCTTTAATTCATAACTAGGCTTTCCACCGACACTTATACCCAGATTTCAAGCCCACCCTTTCCTCTCATCCCCACCACTCCCCTCCTGCCTGGGCACCTGGCTACACCTACGGGCACTGGCAGCAGTAAGGCCAGCAGGTTGATTGCAATATCTGTCTAGGCCTTGAGTGCAGGTGGATGAGTATCTTTCAGAGAAATCTATTTCAATTAGATGATCTATTAATAAGTGAATCTTCTACATTTATCAGTGACTGAGAAAGAAGTTACTCTTCTATTCATGGTGCTGTTTTCCTAGTGGCCTGTCCTACCTGACTTTTTCCAATGATTGGTTAAGATGTTGCCCAAATGGAAAACTTGGAGAAAACCACCATGAAACCTATTTAATCCATATCAATATTGTTAGCCTAAAATGTGTGGCATTGGCTCCCAAGCAACCAGATGTTGCTATGAAATGGAGGCTAATTTAGTAAAAAATAGAAAGCCCTGAATTTCTACAGGCCTCTATCACCATAACTCAGTATGACATGGTTTTCTTCAGCTTCCTCTGGGATAAATGTTTGCTCCAGAACTTACAAGGTAGCTTGAGAGTTTGTCCAACATGCAAGACTGAACTAAATTAGTCTCTAATTCAGTCACAGAAGAGGAGTTATTTCAGATCAGGTTTAAATTTGTAGACTGTGCCCAACTCAGCAGGAGGGGCTTAAGGACCTGGCACTATTGTTCCCAACAACAAGGAGTATGAAATAAAAAAAAAAAGAGAGACAGACAAGGGGGAAAAGGGAGGTACTGAGGGCACAGTGCCTGTCATATGTTCAAGTGAATAGTCAGAAAACTGGGAGTTACATTCATAGTCAATGTTAAAATTTTGGAGAGAAGGTCTTTCCTTTTTTCTCCTAATTATATTTCTGCATACCAAAATAAAATATTTAGACTAATAAAATATGGCATCGTTTGTAGTATTTTTAAAAGAAAATGAGTGCATGTATTTTAAGTATTTTTAGATCACTTAATCTGTTTGCTCTAATTATTTGATATTTGTCAGACTAGGTCTTTGGGAAGTTTCTTCTTATGCAATTTCCTGCCTCTGAAAAATACACTGGATGGTCAGCTATTAGTTGATTCTGACTCAGCAGTACATAACAACAAACAAAAACAAAGAAGGAAGGAATGAATAAAGGCAGGAAGAGAAAAGAGGGTGAGGAATATACACCCTATTTGAAATAGGTCATCAAAAGATATAAATTTAGTAAAAGAATTATGCTACCTGTAACACTGAAAAGAAACAGATTAAGTTGGTGTTACTAGAAGGGCTGTCTGTGCATTTAAAAATTAAATATATTTAAATGAGTTGTAATTTCTTAAAAGTTGATCATGCAGCACACAGTGGTTAGAGTTTGTTTTCTGCAGTCAATGTTTCATAAGGCTGTAATCTATGTAGATTTATTTTAAATTAATGCATTGGTTAGCCAAGTGGCCATTAACTTTAGGAATATTTTTATAAAAAGAAACTAAGAATAAATCTTGTAATAAAGCTTTATCAGCTGACTTACTCATTAAAGTTACTCCAGTACTACATGCTGAGAATAAAGATTATAAATATAAGGCACGATAGGTTTTCTTCTTTTTTTGCAGTCTTTTGTAGAAGAAAAAAATGACACCATCATACAGTTACCTAAAAGACTTGACAGGTATTGATTTAAAGCACGCTATATCAAGTACTACTGTAAAAAGGATTTCATGGTCATAAATTTTAATGTCTTCCAATTTTGCACCCTCTCAGTAACTTGTCAATAACAACTCTTCTGTATAAAATATTTGCTTCATTCCCACATGGCATTAAAGTCTGCTGTACAGTTGTTGAAATACAGAAGATGGAGTAAAAGGTGATGTCACGTGTAAAATAAGTGTTCATAAATTTTTAAAGCTTAATTCATCCTAGTATTAATCTCATTAGCAAAATATTGGTACTTGAAAGTCATTAATAGTTTCACAGTATTGTAAGTAGTTTATGTTTGTGTCTAAAATTATAGTGCCTATACCAAGGAGTTCCCATGAAATCTGGCTTTTTATGCTTCAGAATAAATTATGTACATAAATTATAAAATCTAAATAATTAGTAGGAAATAACTATCCAAATGGACATATTTTATTAATAACAACTATTATTAGAGTACTTACATATAATCTCAATACCTACTATAAAAAAAAACACCCATAATGATACTATTATGTATCATTACTGATATTCCCAGAAATTTTTTCTCAGATCACTTAAGGCATCTTTACAATATTTTGTTAGTATGCTTGCAGATAAGAGTGAAATAGCAATGAGAAGATGCTTTAATTATCCTACTATAAAGTAATATATTGTTATACCTATAACATTAATGAAATACCAAAAATATTTCTTTACAAAAATTTTGTTTTTATTTTATAAGATAATGACAATAGCAGCATTTGATTTTGTAAAACATGAATTACAGTTAGTACTTATTAAATGTTAAAGCAATTTTAACTATTTCAAAGCCTAAACAAGTCAACATAGCAACAAATACAGTTAGAGTAAATTATCATTTAATGTACATCTATTTTTAAATGCCAAATATGCCCATAATTTTACCATAATTTTATTATTCACTAATGTAACATTAAATTATATTGCATTTTGTTAATACCCAGTTTAGATTCCACATTTCCCTCAATATTAAAGTGTTGTCTTAATAACTGCATGATTTCACAGAATTCTGTGACTCATAATCTTTATATGATGTTTTTATTTAAAATCCTTAAACCTCATAAAGAACAGTAAAGCTTTTTTAATGCTATTTGTACAGAGATAAGATTTCTTCTAGGGTGAGTTAAGTAGCCATCTAAGGGGGAAATACATACTCTTCATTTTATAAGCAATAAAGGGATGTCTAGATATATTTTTATACTGAAAATTTCTCCAATTTTTATTGTAAAAATGTTAAATACTATAAAGACCACAGTGTTCAGATTTGCCTTCCTTTTACTGTACTGTATATAATACTTTCATTTAAATTCAGTTTTATGTTAGTAATTACAAAAGATTTACTAGATTCATTGAAAAGAAAAAGTAAACATAGGAAGACACATTCAAATTTAATATGATTAGAAAGCTTTATTAAGTTTTCAAAAAAATAAATAGATCACTTCATAAAAGACATTATAGAAAGTAAGACACTCCTACAAAATAAACAAAAGACAACTGATCAAATTTGAGAGAATTTTATTTTGTCACTAAAGCACAAAATAATCACTCTAATTTTCAAATATCCTTTAGCATTCCAGCCAAAACAATTACTATTATTCAAATGGCTGCCTAGTCAATCCACCTGTAACTAAAAATGAGAGATTATCTGCACTTATGTGGCATTTCTATAGGATCAGAAACAATTACTTCCATTGTTATATTTGTTCTTATGTGGTATTCTGGAAAAGCCTGCCTGATTGCAGTTCTTAAAAAACAAAAAAGTTATAAAATAATTGGTTATTTAACAGACAGTGTGTGAGGCATTCAGAGTCCTGAGTGGTTGAAACATGTTGTTTGAACATCTGTTTGTTTCCTGTTTCCAGTGTTATTAATCTTCTTGTAGGTAAGCAGGTGATCCACCCAAACCAAATTGCCTTGGTCCAGGAGCAGTTTTCACCTTCTCCTGAAAAAATTAAGTGGGCTGAAGAACTGATTGGTGCATTTAAAGAACACCAACAATTAGGAAAGGTAAATGTTTTGTTAATGCTTTGGATGTAACTGGTGTTTAAAATACAACTATAAGAAAGAAGGGGGGTGAGGGAGAATTACTGTTTGAATAGTTTTTAAAAACTCATTGTACTTTTTTTGTTGTGAATGAGAGTAAACATTCAGCAGTGAGAAAATTGTTTAAAGTAGATTTGTTCTCTTAAGTATTTTACTAACAGGTGCTCAAGTATCTTGTTTTAGTCATTTCACAAACTATATTGGCAGCCTTAGAAAAAACAGAAAAAGTCTGTTTTGTTTTGCCCTATAGACTTCAATGCAGCATTCATATGAAAATAATTTTAGATCAAAGTGAGAGCAAGTTGTAATGAAATAAACACAGTTTGACCAAATGTTGCTTGTGGAGAAAAGAAATAAATTTCAAGTTATTTTAATTTTGGGGGAGGGGGAAGTACAAAAATCTCCTCAGGTTTAATCATTTAAGAGTGGGAGGTTGTATATGTGTTTGTACCAATTTCTGGACCTGAGATTTGGATAGAATAGAAAGCAAATTAACATTGGAGTTTGGTTGTTCCTAATTTAGTGCATCATTGAGTCTCGCGTTTCCTGCTCTGTGGGTTTCTGCTATGTAAATATTGCAGTGGTGATGCACAATCTGTCTCCACTTTGTGCCAGTAACACTTAAATTAGGTGTCGCCTGAAGGAAGATTTTATGCTAGTTGCAGTATTGTCAGTTAATTATCTTAAAGGTTATTTGCAAGAATACCGTTTGCCTCTTTTTAAAGGGTAAGGGGGGGGGGGGAGTTACATTTTACAAACTCATCCTAGAGTGACTATCCAAACTACTTTTTTACTTATAGGAAAGGCGAAGTTTGATGTCTATAATACAAAAATTACATAGAAGGAAAAGAACATTTTTTTAAAAAGTATTAACTTCTGAGGTTTAAAACAAACAAAACCCCTTGGTTTTCAGCAATAAATTTGTGGCATCAATTTGAGTAGTGTCACTTGCACTTCTGACTGGCAATAAAAACACCTGACAATCTAAGGGCTATTAAAGTGATTTCTCCCTCTCTCCAACTCCAAACATGTACATCTGCTTACCTTCAAACACGCACGTGCACTCACACGGGTTCATATTTGCACAAATCTGCACTTAAAATCCAAAACAGAGTGTGAAACTGGAAACTTCCAATATGAATTTAAATAAATTCCTTTCCAATCAACAAAGCCTGTCAGAAGGTGCTTCACAGAAAAATATTTCATTCACATTATATATGTCCATTTATCTATCTTAACCAAATAGTCTAGATCCTACAAGAATATACATAGATATTTTCCTGAAGAGTAGAATACACATGCTTACATTATACTTGCAAGTAACTTAATTTACTCCCCTTAGTGCTTACCTTTACATACACTCACCAAATATTTCTATACCTCTTGTATGTGCCTTGTGCTAGCATATGCTACTTCCTATTGAAATACTATAATAAACTGAGGCAGGATATGAACCATTAAAATTACAGACCTAGCAGAATTCCAATTTGGACCAGCACTGCATCCATTAACAGTCTAAAATTGGTTACACACTGGACAACATGAAAGAGGCCACCTGTCAGTGTAAGCAGCAGGAGAGGGGGCAAAGATACCCAAGTTTCTGTAGCCAGTAACCAAAATTCAAACTAGAAGTAGTCTATTTTACCAGCATTGAAGTTTCTGAATCTTGAAAACCTTTTTCCATTATATTTGGAAGTAATGGTCTCAGGGGAAGCTGTCTCCAAGTTTCCAGTGCTTTTTTTATGATAGCAGCTTAAATATTGAACTATGAAGTATTTTTAAAAAAATAATAAACACATTCTTTTGAGGATATAAGCTTTTATAACTTTGTGGCAACCAGAGAAATTAAAGCAGAGGGGTGACTAACTATTAGGTCATTTCTTCTCTGCCCCATTAGTGTAGGTTTGTTTCCTAAAGCAAATTCTCTTGGTGTTTTGTCCAGCAAGGTTTAAATGATTCAAGTAATGTGGCTTCCAGTGGGGACATATGGTTATTTTATCCAGTTAGCATGTTTCTTTCACTTTGCCTATAAATAGGCTGGTCAAAAAAAATTAGGTCTGCAGGTAGGTGACTCAGGGTCTTGAGGTGATCTTGGGGTTTAAATAGTGTGGGTTCTCTTTGGAAAAATTTGGTATAAATAGGTTGCTCAGTTGCATAAAGTATTGCATCCATCACCCATCTAATCTGTTTTATGTCAAATGTGAATCACTGATGAAAACACAAGTGTTTGTCCAAAAGACAGATAACTCTTAAAGATGGAAAACTGATGGTTTAGATCCTAGTATGACACTTATAAATATCTAAAAGCCATTCTTACCTTCTGAAATTGTGTGATAATTTCATCCAAATAATGCTTTTAAGTAGAAATAATCCAAGAGAGCAAAATTATTATCTTTGCTTTTCTGTACTTCTTCATGCCTCATCTTAAATTATATTCTACCCTAAGGCCAAAAATATAGCTGAAGTTCACACAGTTGCTGCTGGGTCATTTCTGTTCTCTACAAAAATTATTATTACATTAGTAAAAATAGTTATAAAGAGGAACATTCTACCTTTCCTTACTGTCCACTACAAATTAAAAAAAAAAGGCACTCTTTAGATCATATGCAGAGAACTTATTTGTATTCAGTATACAGAAATTTGTATACAGAAATTCTAAGAAAATAAAAAGTTTCCTGCTTTTATGTTTTATATCAAGTGAAAAATTGTTTACATTTTAAAATAACCATCTTTTAAGAAGCACACTACAAAGAGGACTGGGGTGAGAGGGGAGATAATGGTGCAACAATGAACGAGTATTTTTTAAAAAGTAGAACAGGGAAGAGAGGGAGAGAGGGTAAAATGTACAACAAAGAATTAATGAAAACCTAATTTTTCTGTAAACTTGTTTAACAGTTAAAATTTAAAAAATAATTTAAAAAAATGACAAGCTTAAATGCAATATTAAAGCATATATCTTTTAAAAAATAATCAGCTTATATATTCACGGTGTGATAAGTATTGATACTACAAGTTGCTTTATTTCAGAAAACTGAAAGATATCTTCCAACTAGAAAAATCTGCTTGGCATAACAATCCCTACTAAGAGTTATATCTGTAGAGTGGGAGAGGGACTGCAGATTATCTTCTTTTATCAAAATCTGTTGGGGAAAAATAGTTAAACACTCTACATATCCTATACTCCTATTTTAATTCCTATAAACTAAAATTTGGCTGACATCAGCTGTTAGATAACCATACAATATTAATCACCCTGATTCTTAAGAAAAATGTGGTGTGAGATATAACTTGTATATCATTACTTTTGTTTTAGCTGCTAATTATTTGGTAAAAATACTTTAGACAGGATAAATCACTTCCATGTGATATGCTTTCCTTTTATATTCATCACATGCTTTATAACACCCTTTTTAATAATTATGACAATTCTAATATCTGAAAAATCTACAGTCAGAACTGTATTTAATGGTACTTATTAAAGATAAGTGATTTTTAACAGTTCTTTATTACCTAATAATTTTTAAGTAGTATAAAAACTGGATCATTACCACAGACATATAATAAAATAGTTAATAGTAGTATCAACAGAAATAGTATCTTATTAATGTATACATTTTTAATTATAAATACATCCACATATATACAATAGTTTATCTTTTTCTCATTTAAATTGTATATAAACTTAGTGGAGAGGTTTCATTATGTTATTCCTCATTTCTTAGGCAAAAATGGCTATAAAGAGTTCACTGCTTTTCTAAGTGATCACTAATCACCAGAAACCTTAGTATAACAAGTTACCATTTCTTTCCAAATAGAAACTTTAACATGAAACGAAATAATAGTAAAATGTTGATCTTTTTAAATAACTTTATTAGAATAGTCATATTTCTATAGTCTCAGATATAAAGAGATTTTGCTTAATTTTTCATTTTCTAAGGTCTCTCCCCATCTCTCATATAATTGTGCATTATTCACCTTTGGAGAAACTGTTACCTTCTGAATATTTTTCATTATATGTAGCTGTGTAAACTGGGTAAGGCTCAAGGAAAAGGATGGGTACACCTTTAAAGTCTAGGGTCAATCAAAAGCTCAAGATAACATCACCCAAGCCTGTAACAGTCTACTTTGATAAATAACAGAACAATAACATAAATCAGTAAGTTTACATATTAAGCAAATCCTCTACTGGAATATAAATGTGAAACCTGTATCTTAATAAAGAAAGGTAGAGAAAAGGGCAGGATTTCTTTTTCCTTCTGTATTTAAACTGGAAAATTACAAACAGTATTAAGTTTCCACCACCACCCCAAATGTTGGAAGCAAATTCTTTTCAGAAGTATCTGATTATGATACTTCACACACCTTTCCTGTGTGTTTCCATATGTGGGGCTTCATGAAAGAAATACTGTTTGGTCCAGATGGCCTTCTAGAAGGCTCCCTGAGAGAACTCAGGAAAAGTCTCTCTAGCCAAAAATATTGTTTCCGATTATTCAAGTGCCAGAAATCCTACTGTCACTCTTTCACGCAGATCAAATAAACCATCTAAAGATGTGACTGTTGTCTTTGTCAAATGAAAAAAGTTGGTTCCATTTATAGATGACAATGTAACCTCCCACACTCATCCATCCCAACCACTCATAGCTTCTCCCTTTATTTGTGAGCACTAATATTAAAATCAGAATCAAATAGTTTCTGTGATAATGGAAGATGAAGCAACGTTACTCTCAAAATTTTTTTAATAATTGTATTTATCCCTGTATTTTATTGATCAGTATTTTCAGAACTATATTCTATAATTTTTACTTTAAAAAGTAGAAGTCTTAGGAAAATGATACTTTTTAAAAAACATTTTAAAAAAACATTTAAAGCAAAGTAATAAAATTTTAGTGCTACACATATTCTAGTTATGAGGAATTTTTTTATCATTGTCAGGAATTTGGAAGCCAGTGAGTTAAACAGTATTT